TTTGTAGATTTTTTTAGAATTTCTGAGACTATTGAAGGACTACACGGTAACATTTCATTTCAGTGGTGTGAGCCACGAAACAAAAGACATGATTACAGAAGAAGTGTCTGTGAGTAAATAATTAGCCGAAAATCCTTAGATAAATGTCGAGAAAGAGAATTAGGCAATCGAACTAGCAAGATAGAAGAACAATTTTCTATAGCGGTCTCTTTTGGAGTTTAGTCTATCCAATAGATATTTAAATCATAGTGTCATATCTCATATATCAACATTTCTTCTTTTGTAGGAGAATGCTAATCAACTTCGGGGGGAGAAAGCTTCTTCATCAATTCAGGGTTTTGTGGGCTTAATCTTGGTACTAATCATCATTTTGTTGAATGTTAATGACTTCAATTTTCAATGGTTAAGGTTGTTAGTTATGTTGAGAGTTGTATTAATTTAGTAATTTTGGTGATCTCTAACAATTTTTAGCTAGTACTTTTTTTTTTCTATTGTCAATTCAAGACCTAACTACATGAGTCATTTCTTCCCTTTTTCCTTAAAATGTGCTCTATAGTGGATTCTCCCACAATAATTGAGTAAACTGCAAAAACTACCCCTGTGTTATCTCGAAATAGCGAAAACCCCCCTGTGATAAATAAACTAGCAAAAACCCCCCTGTGAAATTTAGTCAAAGGCAGAATCCCCCCTAGCTGATTTTTTAGACTTGAAATGACAAAATTGTCCCTCAAAATGTATTTATATATATACATATTATATGTATATTTATTCTTTTTAATTTGTTTGTTTAGAAATTAAAAAAAATAGTAAACAACTAGAATTGATTATTTTTTAAATAAAATAATTAAAATATTTATAAGTATTCTTTATGCAAAAAATTACATAAAACTAGACTGTTTATCACCAATATCAAATATTTGTATGAGTAAAACTACAATTAGCACTACGAACAAACCATAAGATAACATGCAACATAAATCATAGTCATCTTATAAATCAAAAGTTAAGATTTAATTTAAAATCTTACATGAAGCACTCAAGTCTTACTTCCAAAGCAAACATTTAAAATAATTCTCACATCAAAATCAAATATTTAAAGTTAGGGGTCATTAGCAATAAACCCCTCATATAGATAATAAATGGTGATATGTCCACCCCTTCAATCTTTCTTTGTGATAGCCCCTAGAATTTGTATTTCCCAATTGTACCCTTATGTCAATTAGGATAATTAGTCTCAATTATTCCTTTTTTCTCTCTTTCCATGACAATAATCTAATTCCTAAAAATCTCCTTCTAAATTCCTAAAAATCTCCTTCCAAATTCCTAAAAATTTGCTACCAAATCAAAAAAAAAATTATTTTTTATTATTTTCGGATTTTTTAGCCATTTTTCATTTATTTTTATTTTTTAATAATTTTTTTACTAAAAAAATAATTTTTTTTTAATTTTTTTTAAACGAAAAATTGAATTTTTTTTTTCTTGACAGATTTACAACTCCGAATATGACTATAGTTAAACATGACTATATGTGACTATATAGACATATTATTTTTTATATTGCATTTTTTTATATTTTCAACTTAAAAATTTCGATTATATAATGTGGTATAGTCATGTTTACCAAATTATATAAAACAAAGAAGATTGCCCTATTGTTTACGAAAACAATCCAATCAAAATTCACACAAAAAATACAAATTTTGAATCTAGTTATTCGAATATGACTACAATCATATTCGAAAAATACATAAATATGACCATAGTCATATTCGAACATGACTATAGTCCTGTTATGAATTTTTTTTTGAAAAATACATAAAGATAGAAAAATACGAAAGAGAGTCATGGGGAGTCGACGACAACGGCGATGGTGCCGGTGGTGAAGTAAAGAGAGTGAGAGAGGCGGCGACGGTGGTGGTGGTGGGGGACAAATCTGGAAAAATGAGAAAGATAACGAAAAAGAGAGAAAGAGTCTTACGTGGAAACGAATGAGGAGGCAGCGGCAACGAGCATGGTTGTGTACAAATTTATGTGGAGACGATGGTGGCGTAAAGAGAGAGAAATCGAGAAAAACAACGAACACGAGAAATAAATAAATCACTAATCGAGTAAATCAACAATAGTCATATTTGAACCAGAGTAGTCACGTTGATGCTGATGTTTCAGATTTGGAGAGAAAAAAAAAGAAAAAAATCGAAAAAACCTGGGGAGGCGACGACAACGACGGTGAATGACAGAGAGAGTGGGGACGTGGCTACGGTGGCGGTGGTGGACAAATCTGGGAAAAAAAAGAAAAAAAAAAAAAGAAAAAATCAAGAGAAAAGGAAAAAGGGAAATCTCCATGTAACGCATCCGACGAAGGGCGGCGACGAGGTTGGGGAGGCACCGCCACCACCACTTGTACGGAGGAGGGCCTCCTGCATTAGGTTTCGGTCGACCGGAGGTTGAAAGGTATTTTTTACTCCGACGGTGACGAGTGCACGAACAACGGTGGCTATGGTGAGTGGACTACGGCGGTGGTGTGAAAACGACGAAGGAGGGCGCCGCGGTACTGGAGAAAGACAGAAA